GGTAACTGCAATCTGTGCCGAAACGATGGAACCCCTTCAGGGTGGAGGCACTGATTGATTGAAAAGCAGCTTGTAAGAGGACATCTGTTTCCAGTTAGGCTCACACTCACTCAGAGCATTGGAAAACAGTCAGATACGGGACATTCGTAATGAGCTACTCACCGCACAATTAACTGCACCAGCCTGTTCCAAACAGTGAATGTAACTCAGATGTGCCTAGTCGCAGGGGTTACGCAAAGCAGTCATTACGGATGTCGATGACAATAATGATATTTCGTGTTCCTAAAATCAAACATCAAAGTATACTAAGCTGGAAGCCAGCTAATTCCTTCATGTGTGATTGGGTGAAGTGACAAAGACATGTGAATGGAATCACAGGCACTTCTACGTACAAAAGCGAGACAGATCAGGAAGGAGGAGGAGAAACCGAACTGGTTCCTCACTGAAGGGATTGGAGGCATGACTTCAGTTCCCGCGTGACAAATGAGAAACGGGCGTTCCGCTGCATAAACAAATCACTTAATGTTAAACTGCTGTTTATTTTAGCATAAGAAACACATAAACACATTGTGTAGACAAAATATATAATGATATAATGTGGAAGAGAGGAATATAGTATGTAATTACGATTGCATTTCAACGAGTTACGAGATTTAAAGAAAATTAAATTTAGAGAAACAGAAACATCATCACAAGATCAAAGCAAACCCTCGCTGTTGGCTTGCAGGTTGATACGGTGATGGGAACTACTTGCATCTTGCAGTTACTTGCTTGTTTACACTTCCTCTGGAATGCACCAGATTACACGATGTCACATCTCAAGATAATGCTCCTTCAGCTTCATAGAAGTTTAGAAAACTGGCTTATATACATAGAAATATGGGCACATGGTACGAATGTAACTGTGCGGCAGCGGAAAGCGCGCTCAGCACCGTCAGTCCCGAAGCGATCCTAAGCCAGTTCCGCACAAATTGCTACCCCCAGATCCAGCTCGGTAATTCCGTTGCTTAGAACAGAACAGAAGTTTCTACGCCGCTAGTACCCCAAGCCTGTCTTGAGTTAAATATATGCATCTGAATTCTCACAACACATTTCTCTAAAATCTTTGCTAAAACTGTCCCAATTTTGAAAGATTTGAGGTTTTCACGGCGGTGACCATGAAGAAAGTCGTCCTCTGGGATGTGGCGCCGTGTAGAAATTGTGTCCCACTTTTCTCTCAGTCATCCAGACAGGAAGTTCCGAAGAGGATTTAATGTCAAAATTTTCTAGGAAGAACTAATTGCCTACCCTTCTCTGATAAAATACTCACCGAACAGAAAATGACGCTTCAAAATATTCTTCTAATATTGCGGATGTGTTCGTTGCAGAGGGAACGTTATTTTCCTGGGCCGTTGCCTAGCAACGATAGGTGCGATAACACAGGGACAGGACAAGGTGATCTCATAACCCTAATTTTATTTTTTTGAACGTAGGGAAAATAATTTGAATTTTTTAATTCTGGTCCGTCACACTAACAATATTATAAAAGATAAAATAATACAATAATACCCATAATATATTTGCAGAACCTCCTCCTCAAGAAATACAGGCGATACAAGTTCGGCCCCCGTCAAGAAAGGCGATAAGAGAAGGGACACGAACCTATTTGGTTTATAAATTTTAACTTAAATAACAAAAGTTTTAAAAAACTTTAATATACCAAGACAACCGCTGTAGTTGTGAAAGCTTTGGATTTTGTATATACTGTGCATTACAAACAGTGTATGTGTATGTATTCTAACATTCAGAACACCCATTGTAATAGTGGTTCCAAAGAGTATCGATGTCCCTCTGATGATGGTCTATAGGGACCGAAACATGTAAGGGTGTTAAGAATTGAAGTAGTAAAAACTTCAACAGTCACACTGGATGGAGTTTTTATCTTTTATAATAAGGAAAATAGGTTAAAAATATTTGTACTTGCATACCCATACAGAATAATATAAAGACCGTTGCCTAGCAATTGCAGTAACATGTTTACTTCTGTTGACTAGCAATGGCCGTCTCATCTGTCCTTTGAATGTTGTACTAAGTGTTCTCTCTTTGGTCCGCTCCGATGCATTAGGCAGATGTTCAAATCAAAATTATTATCCCAAAATATAGGTGACTTAAACATGGCGGTGGTCAAGCTTACGACCGTTCAAGTGCCTCACCTGCCGTCGTAGCATAGGATACGTAAATAGGCATGATCAGCTTTGCGGAGCCTGGACCGACAGAGCACTTGAATACAGTGCACGCGGAAGAATGTTCAGTAACACGCTGTTTGTGCGGTACATACACTTGATGAAAGGCCGGCCATATTCCTAAGAGACAGACCCATGTTTTCGGAAGAAAAGATCTCATTAAAAACTATGACCGCAGGGTTCAGTTGAAAAAAAAATCTGTGGTCGTGAGTCTCAAGGTGTTTGAGGCCAAGAAGAACTGATTGGTGGTAAACCGCCAGTCGTGAAGTAAGTTTATCCCTGCTCAGCTCAGTCGGTGCGCAGAAGCCCCCTCTCGTTGAAATGGAGACCCAGTTGCCTAGCAGCGATCAGGAAGGAGACTGCATAGCCTACCTCAGGAAAGTACATGCGATATATTCCTGCAATAAAATGAGGAACGGTGTAAGAGTGCCTCAGCAGAGAAGATGCGTGAGGACACAGGATAGGCAGAGAAAAAGCAAACTAACAACACAGAATTTGTCCGTTTAGGCCTATAATATGCTTGATGTGATGTGTCATGTTATGTTGGGAAAGACGGCACCAAAAGATCGTCCCTATGCTTAATTAATTAAGCACTATGACATGAAGGAACGGGAGTGGAAGTATAGCTCCACCAATCTTGACTTCGACTCTAGATGGAGGAAAGTAGTCAGCTTCACGCCCCGGCCACTGTATCCTCGGAGAAGAGCCCACTGGATAGGAAGCTGGACTCTGTGGAGAAGCGAAAACAGTTGACCTTATCGGGAATCGAATTCTGGTCGTCCAGCCCGTAGCCCGTCAGTATACCGATTGAGCTATCGCGATTCCAAAACGACACAAATAACTAATAATATTATTCACCCCTTCTGGATAGCAAGAAGCCAAATGAAGTTACGAGTGTTTATGTTTCCTGCAGTACTGCTAACTGAGGCTGGGTTGCAGACATCTCATACTGCAAGGGTGAACACTGCAGTTGATTCGCAATATTGCAGTAGGGAACAGTGGACTTAAACTTAGCACCGCCACAGATTTCTAGTACAGTGAAATATCCCCAACTGGAATTAAATATTGAAGATACTTTCTAACTTCTATGAGATGAAAATCCTCGAACTCGTGGCCAGAAATTCATATGAAAATGTACACGTTTACATCCAACCGCCGTGAATATGGAACATATTGATCCAAATGCTGTTCGCATGCATGAGAAACCACGAGATATACTTGTGCATCGAAATGAGATAAGACACGGAACAGGGAAGATGACATGAAATATAAGAAGGATATAAAGAAGAAATGAACAGGGAAAGGAGACTGAGAGAGACAGACGAAAGATAAATAAATAAACCAAATATAAAAGACAATTTGTACATTTAGACCTATTAGCATGTCCGATAGAATGCGACCAAAGAGTACACGAAAATAATACAAGTTTCTAAATAAAACTGTCACGATTTAGGGGGTTTGCGTGACCTATAGACGGGTTTCGGATTGGATTTATTAACACCTTATTGATACAGTTAGGGACTACAGGCAATACAGCGCTATTGATATACGCTTTACAGTTCACCGTTGCAACACGCACTAGGGTCCTCAGTCTTCACTAGTTCTATCCTGACAACGGATTTATAAGAGTCTTTGTCACTTTAAATGATGCCTGAAGTCTTCTCTTCACAGTCTAACCCCTCTCTTGCCATTGTTCTGCAATTGCCAACGCACTTCATTTCCTCTGCTCCCAAGCTCATATCCCGACAGGCTGCCGTCTGGAAACTTAACTCTCAACTGAACAATTCTAACCAATATGCACGGACCATGCAAGAGACACAGCCTCTGTTTTGTTGGGGAAGAAGGTTTATAGCGCCACTGAATAACGGAATTTACTCGATTGTCGCTTGTATGTTCGTTGCCGAGGGCATGTGTTTAGGAAGTCGTTGCCTAGCAATGTATGTCTATTCTAACTTAGTTATTCCGGCTTTCGTGGGTCATGTCACAATAGTACTTTCATTTTCTGGACAGAAAAATACCGGGGAAGGTTATTTTTATTTCGAATCCAGTATCGGTGCCTTACGGCTCTTGTACTGGGAACTGCAGGTTGACTGCAGACAAGTCCTGCTGTCCTCAGACTGTAGTCCTGTCAGTTTGATGTAGGTTTGTCTTCTTGAGTTGGCAGAGGACGTTGGTAATCCCAATGACTGTCAGATGGCATTAATACGTTAACAGCCTCCCTGAATCATGCGTTAATGCAAGTACATGATTAAAGATCTCAGTTAAACGCCAATGTGAATGAGCGTATGCACGCTGGCGCTCACAGTGAACACGAAACTTGAGGAAGTTGTTGCATATTACAATATTTAGCGAGGCCAACATTCTTAATCCTCGTTCTTTTGCAACTGATTGTTCTGAGCACTGCTTTAGCGTGAAGACAGGGAGAAATGCAACGATACGATGGTCAAATATAAGTGATGGAAAAATAATTCGAGGGTAAGGAAGGAAAAAATAGGCTTATGAAGGTTTATATAACAAATGAAGACATACTGCGTACAAACACATGCTCTCTGTGTTGCAGACTGTGTCCGTGACGGTCTCCGTGCTCTCTGTGTTGCAGACTGTGTCCGTGACGGTCTCCGTGCTCACTGTGTCCGAGACTGTCTCCGTGCTCTCTGTGTTGCAGACTGTGTCCGTGACGGTCTCCGTGCTCTCTGTGTTGCAGACTGTGTCCGTGACGGTCTCCGTGCTCTGTGTTGCAGACTGTGTCCGTGACTGTCTCCGTGCTCTCTGTTGCAGACTGTGTCCGTGACGGTCTCCGTGCTCACACTCACATTCATCTCCGTGGACCGTTGGTACGCCATCTGCTTCCCGCTCAAGTTCAAGTCCACGACTGGCCGCGCCAAGACGGCCATCATTATCATCTGGCTGCTGGCTTTGGCTTTCGGTAAGTTACACAGCGAACAGAAACAGGGGGCAAGGTTACCTCCAGAAGATACCTTTACTCAACGTTTATGCAGAATCAGCAGTTCTCCTTCACTTGCAAAGCCCCATCCTGGGACCATCCTGGCAGGTACCTCCAGGTTAATCTCCTCTCATGCAGGAAGATTGGGATACAGTAAGTGAAAATGCGCCACATCCGCGTTCTTCTGTTACTTTTCCTCAATTCATCAGTCACAATCATCTCACCATTCGACAGTCCCTAACTTTCGCAAGTGTGGAAGTGCCGTTAAACAGAATGAATCAATAAATCAATATAAATCCGTCTTATTAACTTCGTAAAACACAAGCAAGAATTTATTCTTCCTGTTGTTTTACGTTTATTTATTCACTAGGACAATGCCCACTTGAAATTCGACGGACTTCCTCGTATTTCTATTGCTTACTGCAATGCAATCGGAAAGTTACCGGACTTTTGTTGTTACAACTGCCTCGGTGAAAGAAGATGAGAGGGGAGGCCAAGGTCACACTTCTGCAAGCCTATTGCATCAGGCTGCCACGTAACACTGCGCTGTGAACACACATTGCTTTTACACGAGTGCTTTTTCTACTTCGTGTTTCGTTCTGTCTGCAATGGACGGCAAAATCTAGCAATGTGTTTTCATGAAGTTTTGTGTGAAGCTCGGTAAATCCGCTACAGAAACCCTTGAAATGCTTCGTGAGGCTTTTGGAGAACATTCTTTCAGTCGGTCAGCGATTTCTGAATTACATTCAGGTTTCGAAGCCGGTCGAATGTCAGCTGAAGTTGACGAACGTTCAGGGCGACCAAGCACCAGCAAATCCACAGTAAATATTAAGAAAAACGAGAACTCGTCCACGAAGGCCATTGCCAAAATATCCATGAGCTCGCAGACACCGCTAGGATCAGTTATGGAGTTTTCCATGAGATATTAACAGACAATTTGAACATGCGCCACATTACCGCGAGGATTGCTCCCCTATTCTTGACAAATGATCAAGAGCAGCGTCGCGTAAACGTGTCTTGAGCAACGAGAGTAGGTTAACGAGGACCCAACTTTCACTCGCATCTCTAGAATCATAATGAGCGATGAAAGCTGGATTTACGTTTATGATCCAGAAACAAAGCAACATTCCTCACAGTGGAAGGGCCCACCAATCACTCCTAACACTACGGTCAACTCTGACTTTACTGTGACGTTTTCAGACGCTTGAGAGAAATTGTGCGGCGTAAAAGCCAGGAACTTTAGCGCACCCACAACTGGCTCCTTCATCACAACAACTAGCTCACCCACACCTCCCTGAAAACCACAGAGTTTGTGACTAACAACAACGTTATCGTTCCCCATTCACTCAACTCCCCGGACTTAGCCCCCTGTGATTTCGCTTTGTTTCCCAAACTGAAAGTGAGACTGAAAGGACGACGTTTTGAAACAGAGTCTGACATCCAAACGGAACCGCAAGCGGCACTCGACAGCTTTGATGAGAATGACTTCAACGGGGCTTTTGAAGCGTGAAAAAAAGCAATGGGACCGCTGTGTACGTTCCCAAGGAGACTATTTTGAAGGAGATGGCAGCCAATATTGAGTAATTTAAGCTAGAATTTCTTGTTACCTAGTTCGGGAACTTTCCGATTGCACCTCGTATAATATCGAGCTGTAAGCGCCACCACAGAGATGCCCTCTCCATATGCAAGCTTGCCAAGAATCTCAGAAATCCCGTCACCTTTCCGTCATCTTTAGCGCATACGGAGGTTTAATCTCTCGTGGGCAATACTTTATTTCGTCTCTTCCTTCCCTTTATCCCTTTCGTGCCTTTGTTTCCTTTCCTTCTTCCTTTTCTATTGCATCCACATGCTTCCATCCTCTTCCTTATTCCTGCTCATTTATGTTGAAAGCCTCTTGAAGACAGTTCTCAGCCACTGGGCGGAACTGCCTCCTCTGTGAGGGCAGCACAGACCACAAGGTTCCCCCCAATTCCTGCACCAAACACCATTAAACCGATTGGTTTTGTTCACGGGGACGTAGTGTTTTCTGTGAGGTCGGAACTGAACTTTGAAACGCTATTTACTAAATGACCTTAATGCTTCAAAGGGCTGGAATGTAATCATGAAGATACAAAGTAGCATGCGGAAATGAATGTAAAGTGATGACAGGCAGGAACGCTGTTGGCCTGTTACACTTCTTCGCGCATCACTCCACACTGAGGCCACCATTTTTATCAGTAAAGAAGAGTAGTCCATTGACACAAATGTGATTATAAAGCGAAACCTTTTATTATTAGAACCAGGTTCATAATCGCATTAGCACGGCGCGTGTGCAGAGTGGCACTGGCGCCGAACTGTTAGTGACATCGACAGGGTGCCCCTTAATTCAGAACATACCTGACTGAACCTCCGTTCTTATTGCTGTAAAATTGAAGAACTTAGCAGCAGGTTCATCCGAAAGTTATCTATCTGGAAAACGAAATGACGCTACAACCCAATACAAGCGCTTTGCTCGATGTGCATGGAGATCGTGTCTGGCCGATTGGCCTGTCCGCCTCCTAACCCAAATGTTTTTACTCGGATGGATTTTGTTGAAATTTGACGTGTATGTTATGTAACTGGAGACCATACCAAGCTCACAAATTTTGTATCTCCTACAATTAATGAGGTGTAGGTGACTTTGGAAAAGCAGTACTGTCTTCATTGGTTGCATCCCGTTGTGTTTTCCGGATATATGATCGTAAAATATGATGTATGCATTTTGTCTAGGCGTGTATATATGTTGGGTGTCTTTTACATGTGCATTGGTTCGATGTAGACTGATTAGTGTACATAACGACACATATTGTGAAATATGCACAATTAATGTACCACATATTAACAACCCGTGCATCATAAAAACTTGTTTGGGGTCTCCACGACCGGGCTTACTGCGTAGAAAGCTTCTAACAACAAAGAACTACAATGACGTAACATGCACAATTCTACACTGTAGCACTGGAACCTTAGAATTAAGTTGGCATGCACATTTTATTACCTCTTATACCAAGTAGTTTTAAATATTTTAAAAATATTTTTAAGTGTTTTTAATAGTTTTTTAATATTTCCCTGTTATATTCAACACTTACATCAATATACCTTGATGTATTGTGTGTATATTTCAGTTTTTATATTCTATCTTTTATCTCATTTTGTATGTTCTATTTTAATTGTAATACTTACAAACTTGAGGCAAATGTTATGTGTTATTACACAACACGACACGTTGCACTGATATGGATCCGTGTCAGTAGTCCAGTAACTGTACGTACTCCTACATATAACTGCCTGATGAGGGTCTTGTACGGCCGAAACATGTAGCAGGAATAGAAAGCCTATTGTAGAACATTAAAAGCGAGTATATCTGTTGTGTTGACGGTCAACCTAATTCCTATATATATATAACATCCAACAGTGGCCGTAGGAGACACTGTATCCGCAGTGCCCATTTTAGCCAAAACTGTACTTACTACTTGCACGCAAACTATTCAGAACAACTGCGACATTCAGCAAGCCGAGATACAGAAAACGCACGTGCAAATTTTCTGCACTTTGGTGCGGATTGAAGTTTTACGTCCGTCTTTAAGAGCACAACACAAATCGTCATAATGTTGGCGCGCATGTTCTCCGTCTGAAACTTTCGAGAAAATTGGTATGAACACAGAACTACTAGAGATCGTGACTTGCGGGGACCGTCCTGAACTGTGTTGAGCAACAAGTGTCTAACCCAAACTCTCACACCCTTAAGATACATTTGAGTATTGTCCTCCCATCTACACCTTGGTCTCGAAGCTTGTTCTTTCCTTTCATGTATCCCTTTGGTTAAATGCATTTCTCAGCACTCTCTTGCGTGCTACATGCCCCATTCATTTCATCCTCCTGAATTCGGCAACCATAAGATTATTTCGTGGAACGCAATGTTCATGATGTTTCGGAGATATATATTTCAATCATCTTCATGGTGCAAGTGAGCTAGTGTTCATCGTACTGCCCTGAACTCTAAATGTGGTGGCGGAGTGTCGGAAACAGCGCCCATATCCACCAGATGCAATAGTTCAAGAGCAGAATCAACATCAGCAATGGACTGTTTATTTTCTGAAACATGTGACAGTGCGCCCACAGCTCATGTAGTGCAGAAAAGTGAGACAATGAACATGGACGACGAAGAACGCGAAGAGAGACGATATCACTGAGAGATAACGGAATGAGAGAAATAATTCAGCTTGCTGTGCCCCTTGTACACACGCTCTGGCCTGCCCTGCGTGTAATTAACCCTTTGAAGGGAGACGAACGACAAATCATTGCAAGTTACATGATCACTGTGATCTGAAAATAAAGATCACTCCCGCCAGTTTGAAGCTTGTTTGATATGGCACGATGCAAAGCGTCCGTAACTCTCCACATTTCGAGCGTTTGTTCATTCACTACCTCAGACTGCCGACTCCACCATTTTCAAATGGCCATGAGTTTCTTCCATCTGCCACGTACAGCTACAGCGCTAATGTTGCCCCTCCACTTCCCGCTCGCCTTTGACAATGCTCGCTCAATTTCAGAATGGAGCCTATAAATTCAGTTTTGTATAGAAGGCAAGGTCATCCCAAAAGGGGAAGGGGGGCTTGTTGCTTTGTACTTGCCTCTTTCCTTGTACGGCTCGCTACTCGAACCGAAGAAAGGCCAATATTCTTATACCAGAACCTGATTTCGCTACGTAAATGTTTCTCCTGTTAGTGGCCTGATGTTAACAGTCATCGCGTGGAAACCTCAAATTTGAGAAACGGGAAATTATTGTTAATCGGGGTGCTCTTGCAGCAAATAAATAAAATTCTGATAAAAATACGAAAAAAAAAACCAAAGTACTTAAATATCTATGCCAGTTTCCATACGCTGTACTTTTTCAGTAGGTCTGATGACATTTTCATCAGCTCGTATTTCCCGCGCGAACTGTGGTTCAGCAGGTTCTCAGAGAAGCTTCGGTTTGAAATGCAGTAGAACACGCCTTTGCAATCACAGACAGATAATGCACTTGTTAAGGGAGAACGCCGAAACTTCTATTATCAGAAGCCACTAAGCAATACAAGGGCTATAGTTTCTCATTTCAAAGGATCTGAAGAGCCAATAAAACGTTATTACACGTATTTATCAGCAGACTTACAGTGGAAGACGAACATTAAATTCGTGCATTGTGTTCTACTGAGAACACTTTTATGCTTTAGGAACCGGTGCCTCGTGAGATTACGTTACGGGCAGACGAAGTGAAGGCGGGAACAGCTAAACGTCCTTGGTTTGTACCCAAATTTCTTCTTCGAGGTTCACGTAGCCAGTGATATTGCTGCTATTAGTAACACACCTTATCGAGTCCAATGAGGCATTTGTCTCACAGATATACCTGCTGTGTCTCTTGGGCTACAAATGTCCCTCAAGTGCATACACTCACCCCTTTTCAGACCCTCTTGTCTAATTTACTAAAATCAGACTTAATAGCGTTAACTCTCAAAAAATGTACACATGAAGTCATTAAACTTGAGATTCTAGCAATTGTGACTTATCGACAGCACTTTTTGTGGCATGTGACACCGCATAGCCTGGTATATATTTACTGACGTATTGGAGAACGTACTGCCCCCCCTTGCAGAACTCCGATCTGCTTGTTTCTTGCTGATTGCTTGCGTAACTTACGCTTAGATTCTGAAGATGGAGGCATTACGTTTTCCCGAAGTGTCCGCAAACTTCTGCCAACCACACAAAGTTGCATCCCATAACGTAGTCTTAACATTAAATTCGATCCCACAGATGGTTTAAATATTTTACCTTCTCATAAATCCAAAAATACTGATGAATTTTAATTAAAGTTAGGAATTTGGAGAATGCAAAACGAATCGAAGATTTAAGGACAGTCCGTAAAGCAGAATTTGCTTAAAGAATGAACATTGACATTTGAGTTGTTCTCGGAGACGAAAGAAATGCAATTTCTGTAAGAACATATTATGAAACCAAATACGACAAAAAATCGTCTGAATTCCTCACATAAAGTTAGGAACTGCTGAGCCACACCACATCCTCTGATGTGGTGGGCAATGCCACGCCACTTTGTCAGAGATTAGAATCACATTGAATATTCGCAGAAATCGCCATTACTCTGCGGGCAGGCTGCTGCCGGCTATGCTACCAGCAGCGTTGTGCTTGCTCCCGAGCCTTATCCGGACCTCCTTATTCGAGGGCTGATCCGTCTCTTTCGGGCAAGCAATGTAGGAGCGGGGGAGAGTTCGCGGCATTCGAGACAGCGACACATAATTCATTGCCATGTAAACCATCCCATAACTGGCCACCCAGTGTTTGTTCTTGTCTCTGCAGAGTGGGTCACGCTGTGCCATGCGACTGATGATCGCACCAGCTGCGAAATTCGCACTGCTATCTGCAGCTATCATGCTGAAGACATCCGTGCTGAAGAAGCATGTGAATTACTAGCGTCTCATGCCCAAAATGTACTGACTGAATGAACTTTAGGACAAAGGTGCAGAATATTCAGAATAGGCGAACAAATGTTCACGATGAAGGGCGAAATGGACGGCCTGCCATCTGTAGCGAGCGGTAAGCACGGCCCGGATTTTGATGACACGTCTTTTTTTATGTGTCTTATTCGATGCATGTAAATATATAAATCCCGGAGATGAGCTGCTGGTTACAGAAATGTTACGTTTATAGGTCATTTATGGTCTTTTCCGTCATTTTTTTCGGTACATTTTTTTTTACTTGTAAGGGTATTTTTATCATTTTAGCCATTTTAGGGAATTTTCCTTCATATATTTTCAGAAGTGTGAATAATATGCAAGTAAGTGTTCTTTCTCTTTACCTGCCTCTACAAAGGCGGGCTGCAGCTGCACCCCAAATGCCTGCTACCACAGTGTGCAATAATAAGTTATAATCCTGTCCCGTCCTTTCCATTCGTTTTGCGGAAAGTCCTGATATTACATATCATAAAACATTTTAAGCTGGTAGCAGGGTACCACAGTGGTCACTCACACTGCGGTCCTTTCCAAGTTCGTGCAAAGCAATTTGCCTAGTTACAAAATATTTATAGTCGAATCCCTCGCTTTTTATGACATACTGTTGCTCAGTAGAACTCCGTCTGTCTTCAGTTTCTCGTCTCTGACCCTACAGACAAAGATACAGTTGACGAAAGGTTCTCAGTGCGAAAAGTTCAGTTCTGTGTTGCGCTAGAGTGATTCGATGCCTAAAGCAAAGCCATCAAAAGCACCATGATTTATTTCAACCGTCTTCCAGTGCATACACTCATCTATCTCCTCCTCTCACTCGCACTACATGTTTCGGCACAAATGTGCCATCTTCNTATATATGATAAATATATATTTTAGTTATTTTAATATGAAGACAAGGCACGCAATGAACTAGTTTAGCGTAAATTAAATAAGCACCTGAAGATGGCACATTTGTGCCGAAACATGTAGTGCGAGTGAGAGGAGGAGATAGATGAGTGTATGCACTGGAAGACGGTTGAAATAAATCATGGACTTAAATCAGTGCAACAGGACGCTAAAATGTAACATTATTAAGATCAAAAGCAGCTCAATAATTGTAATTAATACGATATACCACGGACAAAACTTTTATATCTTATTTAGGTAAACAGTAACTGACTTCATGCCTACACTCTGTATACAGAGCGTTATGAAGATCTGTTCAGCCGGAGCACGTGGACTGAAGGGCACAACATGAACTTCGCATTCTGTTTCAGACGTCCCGGAACTCATGGTGCTGCAGACGCAGCCCAGGAAGGAGCTACGCATCGAAACGCACTTCTTCACGCAGTGCGTGCCGTCATGGTCCGACCGCTCGGAGACGACTTTCCACGTGATGAAGACGGTGTTGTTATACACCGTGCCGCTCATATTCATGTCAGTGGCGTACTGTCAGATAGTGAGGGTGCTGTGGCGTTCCGACAACATTCCAGGACACACGGAAACAATGAATTATTATGGGACCTCCACTTGCAACAACGGTAAGCCAGCCATTCCTTGAAAACTGAGGCCACACTCTTACAAACTGTAACCTATATATAGCTCATTCGCTAAGCTTTCCAAAGCACAGTGGTCACCACAACGCGTCGTCGGCAAGACGGATCAAGCAAGCAGTGACGTTTCGGGAGATGCCCAGTTCGGTTCTCAGTCAAAATACCGACAAACTATTGTGACTGAGGTTGTTTGTGGTTTTCTTCAGTACCGCAAGGGAATTCCTTGCGCAATACCTCAAATCAGACCACGACAACTTCCTTCTGCATCATTTCAGATTTCATTACTCACGATCATCCAGTAAAATTAAAAGAACTTTGTACTTTATCCACAAAATGTATTCATGTATTTGATATTATTCTCACGGTTATCAGCGACCGTCTTCTTCAACGGCACTGACTGGTTGGTCATAGTAAACGAAACACAGCGTGTTGGTGTAGTGTGATTTAGGGCTCCAAAGGAGTAATGCAGGCTTTAAAACCATTTATGCATCTACGCTTTGTGGAGGCATGCTAAGCGTGACACGTCGCTTGTCATCCTCGCGCATTCGCCGCATCCTGAAAGCCTGTCACTTGAAGGGTGGTGCGCGTGACTTATAGACGGGTTTTCGATCGGATGATTCCATTTATTGACACCTTATCCAGTCAACTCACAACCACAATTGATTGTAGCGCTATCACTATGTCCACAGTTCACTGTGACGCACATATTACACTCTCACCCGTACCAGTCTCACTGTAACTGCAGCACAGCCATTTCTTCTCAATCACCTTCGATTGCCGAACTTGCTCACTTCTCTGCTGCAGCTGCCACCCACAGAACTCGGCTCAATTCTAATTCTAGCTGCGTGAGATCCTCGTTATACAGCCTCGGGGCGGTCCACTGATTCACTGCTGCAGAGATGTTTACCGAACAGTTGCATAGCAACAAACGCGGCGCGGAACCACAGACAACGCAGCTTGCAGCACTCATTCTATTGTTGCATGACGTCACACTGTACGTGACGCGTTCCTCTGCTACGTGTTTGAACGGGGCATTAACTAGCAATGGCTGTTTCTCTGCATCCATAATTCTTGCTTTGAGCAAATACGCCACAATATGTTTCCTATATAATGTAAACACCTAATTCAATTACGATAGCGATGCTTCCACCTCACAAGTTCGCTCAGCTGTCATGTTGGTACTGCTGATCACAGATTGTTGTGACGCAAGGGAATCTTCCCTAGAGATGTCAACACCATATCGATACTGTATTGCATCGTTTTTAACGTACAGAAAATCTGCAAGTTGCCACACAGTGTCTTTGTGTTTAAACCTAACAAAAAGCAATAATTTCCCTAAACAAATAATCGGTTGTTATTTGTAGTGGAGGTTTTAAAATCATTTGTGTGTCTACGCTTTGTAGATGTATCTGAAACTTGTGAAGCCAGAGGCAAAGTAACAGTAACACGTCGCTTGTCTTCCTCGCAACAAAACTGTTCGCGCATTCACCATCTTTTCTGTGACGTAGGAACTAAATTTTTAGATGCGTTCGAAATACTGTGGAGCACCTATTGTTTTTACTAAGTTCGTTCGTCCGTCCGTCCGTCTGACCTAAGAAACAAGTTAAGAGGAGCTGAACTTGTTTCAACCAGAATTTGTGTGGGGAGTTCTATTCATATTTGCCAAAAATTCGACCATTTTTAATCAGAAGAAAATAACGAGAACTCCACATGGAGACGAGCATGCGCTTTTGCGCATTGCAACAAAAACGTTTCGAAAAATCGTTCGAGAGAAAATGAAACATTTTATGTCCGATACACCTCCGCAAGTTTAGGATTTTCGTGGTAGTATGACATACGAAATGCTATGCATGCATTTCCGAACTTGTTCATCCCACATTATATCCAGGGATTACGAAAGTGTCTCATCCTCGACAGCAAATAAACAAAATTTCGTCCTGCCTAAATTTATATGTCCGCACGTATATAAATACAGGGCTTAGTTTATATAGAAGTGGTTGTGAGCGTGGGGTTTATCTCTGTCACTATGGATTTCGGATTGCCACTGCAACGAACTATCGAGAGCTAACAAGTTGCCTGAATATAAGTTACGTTCTAGATCACGAACGAGCGAGTTGTCTCTTGTTTCACTATATTGCGTCTCTTCAACTGAACTCTGTCAACTTCTGACTACTTTGTCCCTTTAAAACCCCTCGGCACGGCCTACGCAGAAAACACAATCTCTTTACTGATGAGAAGGCGTGTTTGCTGATCCGTTACCTAGCAATGGACGTCTTATTGTTGTGCGCGTACGCTTCCGCGGGAACATGTTTACCAAACCGTTGTCTGGAAACGTCACATTGTTAATTAATTTTCGTTTAGAAGTTGTAATAGCAGGAATCAATGAAGCTGTAATACTGACCGATACTTCCACTTCTGGTTAGCGTGAGTGTAAACTAAGAGGGAATAGTTTAATCTGAATTTAATTGCGTTTATTAAGCGTGTTTATTATAAGGGAACAGTTACTCGCAGTCCTGATTATTCGGTTCGTAGGTTTCTCGGGTTTCGAGAGAATCACAGGGCTGGTTCGAAACTCTAGAGGCGCTATCAGAGCAAAGTCGTCAGAACTTCAGCTCCGTGCAGAAGTTTCCTGTTTTCTTTATTTCTTCTTGGATGTGACGCGAGTAGTCTGATAGAGGTTGTGGGGGAACGTTTTGCCTCCATCTTCAGGGCCGAACAGTAGTCCTAAGCAGGCAGAAGCAGAAATAAGCTGGAGGCTTTCTTGGCGTATCCTACGGCCTCTGAGATGGAGGCAACGCGTTCCTCCGAAACGCGTGTAGAATTGCACCAGACTAAAAGTGATTACAGCCGGTCATTGTAGCCGAGCGGTCTAAGGCATGCACTGTCTTCGCTTGCTCGGAAGCCGGGAGCGTGGGTTCGAATCCCACTCAGGACATGGATGTTTGTGTGCGTTTTTCTGTGTTTGTGTACAGGTAGAGGCCTTGCGACCAGCTGATCACTCGCCCAAGGAGTCCTACCCCATGTCTAAGATCCAGTAAACCGAAGTGAAACGCAGAGTTTCATGGAGGTAGGCCTGGGCCTAAAATGAGGGCTGTAGCGCCAATGAAAAAAAAATATATTACATCTCGGAAAGCCGTGATGTCAGTAGCTCTTTGGTAAGCAGCCTTACTGTGAGAGTGGAGGATATTTAAATATCCTCATCCAAAATGTGCAAGTTTAACTAACACTGCTGTGAAATAAAAAAATTGAATTTTAAAGCGAAAAATTAACTGTGTATTGAGAAAATAAAGTAGATTTAGACTCTGTACAGCAGTGTGACATTTTGATATTTTCGTCCTAAAAAAGTAATTATTTACAAAAATGACGTAAACCCAAGAAAGGAAGACTTTAAAGCTGAAACATGAAGAATGTAAAGTTTGGGTTTAAATATTGTACTTTTATTTAGTCTTGCAAGTGTCTGAAAGACAAGCGTCCCTTCCATAATGTAAACGGTTCGTCGACTGAATGTTCTGACTGTTACCCTTCAAATGTGATAGGAGAGGAAACATTTTGTAAAGTTATGCAGGGCTTTCGTAATTTGCTTTGTTAATATTGTCTTCAGAATGTAAGAATGTCAGTATTAATTGGAGCCTGTCTCTCGATATCACATCACCAAATCCTGGCAGAATTCTCGTTCTTGAAAATCACGCCCAAAGAGTGGCATTTCGAATGATCCCCATTAGTAAATACAAAAAACAATATGAAATTCATTTTCTGTAACTGATGCCCATTGTCTTTCAAAAGATCTGAAAGTAAAAATTCTCCATCTGGAATTTATAATTTTTTCTGCATAACGATTAGTTTCCACAAACATTTTATAAACCATGTCTCTACTGAAAAACAATAGAAACATAGACACAATAACTTGAAAGTTTATTGCACGATTCTGAGGTCCAGAAAGACCAGAAAATAATTCACGTTGTCCATAAGCGGAAAAACGTTCTGGACCCTTGAGATTCCGTTTAAGACATGTTTTACTGTATTATATTACGTCAGATGTCATAGGTATGGACAGACAGACTGACGATAGGATCTCGAAGAAGAACAACCGAATTTTGCACAAGAACATCACCTGTTCTCAGGTACTGGTTTGAAGCCAGGTCTGTCCCATCAAGGGAAGAGCGCAGGCTGAGCGGGGTGCTGAGGGGAATATTTGGACCTTAAAGGAGTGAACTTGTGATACCAGTTGCCCAAGTAGATGAAGGAATAATGTGAACAGGCACGGAATGGGGGTTCTTACCCAGTCGCTGCGATCATGTACCGTTTGAGGATTACTGATCGAGACCGGTGAGATGGACATACAAATTTAGCACATGCACCGAGCACGTGGTCTCCAACGGTACTGACAAGGTGTCCGATTCGGATGTCGGGCAGAACAGACTGTTATTCTTCGTGATTTCCCTCGGTCGTTCCAAGCAGATGTCATTAGACTACTACTGCTACCTGCACCATCCAAATCCTTTTCAATTCATTATTCCTCCACCATCTTGCCACTTAATGCTACACATTGTACTTACTGGGAGAATTTTCGGTTAGGAAGCCTCAGGGAAAAGAATTCTTCAGGAAACGCTTGAGTAGATGACCGGTCAGATCTTAAGAACCTTGGTTTGAAGTGATGAACAGAACTGAGGTTTCGTGGGCACAGGGATCCGTAATGGCAGTAAGTTGCGTAACTGCATTCCTGCTACAACGTGTACCTACTTTTGTAACTGCCTTTTGTTCAGTTTGTAACTTTCCAAATTATGAGTAATTACACGTAGTTGCTTGTAAAGGAATCCGTGAGCCACGCAAGTAATTAAGTGAAGGGAAGGCACCCATTTCGAATGACAGCCAAGGATCAACTTACATGACATGTCGATCTCTCTTGTTCATATTTCTTATTTAACGAAGCATCCATGATACGGTGAGCAGTAAATATGCAGCATAATGTCGTACTTACGCATCTTCTT